ACATAACTTGTCTTTTCCTTCTCTTTTTGAAGCATGCTCTTCTCAACTGGTTGAGCTTCTTTTCTCAATATTGTGGGCTTTACTCTGTCTCCAGAGCAGCAGTTCTTAACCCGTGGGTCGCCAACACTTTGGGGTCAAACAGCCCTTTCACAGGGGCCGCCTAAGACCATTGGAAGGCACAGAGATTTACATTAGGATTCACAACAATAGCAAAGTTACAGTTACAAAGTAGCAACAACAATAATTTTATGTTTGGAAGGCCACCACGACATGAGGAACTGTGTTGAAGGTCACCGCATTAGGAAGGTTGAGGAGCTCTAGAGCCTCCCCCTCCCACACTGTGGTGGCTTGTCTGCCTGTATCTGACCTCCATGTCAGCTGAAACAGAACGGGCTGCTTCCCCTATTCCCTCCATTCCCTCCTCCAGGCAGCTGCTAGTTTTCCCTCCTCTTCCCTCTCCTGCCTCTCCCTTCCCCTTCCCTCCCTTCCCATTCCCCCCTCCTCCATTCCCTTCCCTCCTCCTCTCCTTTAAACTAAATAAACTCATCCTTGAGCTTTTTTGAGTTCTTTTTTCCCCCATGAGACAGGGTTTCTCTGTCTAGCCCTGGCTGTCCTGTAACTCTATAGACCAGGCTGGCCTCGAACTCAGAGATCCACCTGACACTGCCTCCTGAGTGCTGGGATTAAAGACATGTGTCACCACCAGCAAGCTTTTAGTCCATCCTTAAAGAGGGTAGCCCCAATTTCCCCTGGATCAGTGGTGTCCAGCCAGATTCTCAGCATGTGCCTGGTCAGCGATGGTCACTCTGGGACTAAGGCTGCAGGGACCAGTCAGAGACGGGTACTCTGCGGGAACCAGCCAGCCGAGCACTGCTCCACCCTTGCATGTATGTCTCAGGACACTTTCTTGCAGTGATTTTGAGAAGTCCCAGAAACGCTTACTCAGTCTGCCTACGTGTCCTTTGCCATTCCTGGAATGCTGCAACTGTTCCGTAGCCCTAGGCTTCAGTCCCAGCTCTCAGCAAGCAGGAGGCTGTTCTCCAAAGTAAGAACCTGAAAGGAGGCCCTCCGTTCCCCCAGGAGGAGTATGTTAGAAGGTGCATTATCAGACTGTAGTCACCTGAAGATAAGTCACAGAAACCTTGGCACACAGAAGAACATGGCTTTGGGAAGCCCTGTGAGCTACCCTCAGGCTGTGCTAGGCTGTGGCTCACCTGACAAGCTTTTGCACCAACCCTCACCACAAGGCAAACATCTTCTCTAGGTGAGAGCATTTCTACTTAGTAGGGCAGTCCTGGTTTCTCACTTGATAGCCATCATGGCCTATGATAAATGAGACTTGGGATCTGTGTCCAGGCCTCTGTATTCACAATTACCCTCCATTCACCAAGTGCCATAAGAGCCACACTCTGTCTGATGACCTCATCTTCTCTTCCCAGGCTATTGCTTCTGCCACTGCCACCAGCACCCTCTCCTAGAGTGGCTCACCCTACAGGAGGCTGGGGAACCATCCTGGGTGCCCAATAGTCACATATACACATCCCGGATGTAGAGTGGAATATGGGTCAGTGGGGCCTGGGTATTCTGCTGGAACCAGGATCCCAAAAAGAGGTAGGTAGGAAGAGGTGTTGAGGTCCCAAGGGTGGAGCCCCTTACCAGCACCCAAGTTTCACTCTGAGGATCCCTTCATCAGCAAACCACCCCAACTCTGCCCATCTCAGGGTCCAGGCTAGGGGCAAAGCAGGAAAGTCAGTAGTGACTCTGGTTGGGAAGTGAAGTCACAGAAAGATGTCAGGCCACAGAGGCCACAGTCCACAAAGAACATATTTGTTTCCACCAGTGGCTCTCCTCTTCCCCTAGGTTTAAAACCTCAAGACTAGAAAAGATGCTCACCAGCCTTAGGACAGGATTTAAGGCTAACTGCATCCCTACTCACAAGGGCATCCCTGGAGCTCCCAGCACACACTGCCTGGTCAGAGCTGGTGGCTGCTTCCCAGAGGCAGCTGATGGAGCAGCATGGAGCTAGCTGTGTAGTGGGTCCTTCCTTTCTCGAGGAGCTGCTACTGCTATCTCTGGACCGAGTTCATTGAGCTCTACTGACCTGGGCTGATGGGCCACCCTGTCTGCAGCCTCAGCTCTCATGGATGTCTCGGTTTCTCCTTAGGCAAAATGGCCTGTGGCTGTGCATCTGTCTTTAAGAACACCACACTCCTTTGGTCCAGCCTCAGCCTCGGTAATCAAGGTCTGGCAAGGGTGTCAGTATGGAGGAATGTCCATTCCTTTCCCATTCCAGCCATAGAGGCCTGTAGAATGGTGAGCTCCCAGGCACATGGCTCAGAGGCACAAGTCTATACCTCCCCATTGGTGCACAGAACACATAATGCCATCACTTTTCCAGTGTCATTAGAACTATTTGTTTTTATCCAGTCTTGTCCAATTAGAAGGACTTTCTACTAAATTCAACTGTATCCTTTATTGTCTTCATTTCTTCCTGTTGAGAAAGCATTTCACCAACATCTTGCAACCACCAGCTGTAACCCGACAACTTGTGTCCCTCAGTACTGTATAGTGACTTAGACTTTTACTGAGCTCAGTTAGGACTCTGCTCCTCTACAGTACACTTCAGAAACACCCTCACCCCAGCTCTCGACACATGTGTCATTGTGAGAGTCTGTGGCTTCTCGGAACATACTCCACACAGGATCCCAAAGACCCATGTATGAAGTGGGGCTTTTTTGTCTGAGACACATGACCAGTGAATGATCTAATCCAGCCACTGTAGAAACTCTGGTGAGGTTTCCACTCTGTGCGATTTGAGACAGGATAGCACATAACCTTCCCTGACAGTCGAATCTTTTGACTCACAGCCAGTTCCTTTAGCTTGAAACTTTGTCTATGCCATAACCCTCCAAAGATAGAAAGAACTTGGGTTTTTGTTGTTGTTGGGGTTTTTTTGTTTATTTGCTTGTTTTTTTGTTTGTTTTTTTGAGAAAGGGTTTCTCTGTATTGTTTAGGAGGCTTTCCTGGAACTCTGTAGACCAGGCTGGCTTCAGACTCACAGAGATCCACCTGCTCCTGCCTCCCAAGTGCTGGAATTAAAGGCATGCGCCACCAACGCCCGGCTAGCCCATCCTTAAGGCTCTGGTAGCATCATGGGATTTGGAGCTGTATCTTGAATGAGGACTGTGTCACCATAATGATGGAGAGAAGGGGTCAGGAGAAGTAAAACAAGGCTAGATCAGCGTGAGAGGTTTGTTAAGTGGATTCGATGGGACTCTGAGGGCAAATGAGGTACCTTTGAGCATTCCTTCCCTACTTTGTGTGTTCAAGTATATCAAATAGGCCTATTAGCAATACAGTATGGCTCATCTTACAGCATAATTTGCCTTACAAGGAGCCAGCATATGTCCAGCTCTTGGTATAGCCCTAACAGTACTTCATACACTGACACAAATCTAAATATTTCAAAGTGAACTAGAGTTTAGTCTACCCTTGACAAGAAAAAGTATGCATCTAAAGTTGAAGGAAGGCATAATTAATTACCTTAGTATTAACCAACTACAAACTGTGACACAGTACTCCATTTGACAAATCATGCTTGATGACAACCTGCAGGATTCAGCTGGAGTTCCCAGGCTCAGCACAATTCTGGATGGGCAGTTCTGGCCCTAGGGGTTGTACAGAGTCTCTTCCCACCCACACCCCATAATCTGCCCCCCTTAGGAACTCTTAGGTACACCTGTGGACCCCAGTCCACAGGCCCAAGCTCCTTGCTTGCCAGCCTCAGCAAACAGCCTCCCTTTGGACATCCCTCTGGGGTCAGGTCTCTTCTCCTCCCTGGCGAAGACCCTAACAGTAAGCTAAGAATCCTTAGGGCAGGGAATTTCCTCTGGCCTTAGAGGAGAGGCAGGTATGGGGAATCTGGTGGTCAACCCTTTGGACTTAAGGGTCTGAGGAAAGCCAGAGGAGGCCCTGGCTTTAAATCCAGGAGTACAGACCAGGGAGGTTTTTTAAACCCAGGAGTAGGGGTTACATAGTGGAGGGTGTCCTTGCCTAGGTGTGAAGGCAGAACGGACTAAAAGGCCTCTCCAGGTCAATCTGTCTTTTCTTTGCCGTTCTTGAAATGTGACTACTTGAAGATAATTAAGCACAGTAAGAGATGAGGAAACAACTTGAAATACTTGCAACTGTTTAGGGAGGAATGGGGGAAAAAAGCCAGTATTCACCAGTGGATGGACTGAAGGACATTATAGACCAGGAGAGAGAGATCCTTGCCTTGGGAAATGAATCGCGTCTTAAAGTCTTTTCTTTTTGTTTTTGAAACATTTCTACAGAGACCTTCCAAGAATCGCCGAGGCACTGATAGAGGTAGCAAAGTTGAAAAGGTAGGCCAAGGGAGGGTTAAGCCTGCTCTCTCTCTGTGGGCTCTGGGAGACAACCAGCAGAAAGCATTGTGTCTCAAGAGCGAATAACAGTAGGGGCTTCACTTCCATGGCTGTTTTCCCTTTCTTCAAATTTGTCCGTTGCTAGAGTTTCCTTTGTCAGTTCTTTCTGTGGGGACAGAGACTTCCCACATGGCCTTACTTGGCAGGTAAAAAACTGGGCTGCAGGTAGCACCTGCAGTCAGAACCCAAGGAGAGCAGGACCTAAACTGCATGCCGGGCAGTTCCCCACTACCCAGGTTGGGGTTCTGCAGCAACCGCCAGTGCTGGGAGCCCGAGGGTGAAGGGGACAGTGCGAGCGGGAAAACAGACAAGAGTCTAAGGGCTGAGGCTCGGCCAGGCCGGGCCCTGTTCTGAGATGTTGGGAGTCGGGGGTCGAAAGTCACCCAGCCCCAGGTGAAAAAGACCCGCGCTTTACTAAGCCCGGAGATGGTGGCATCTGTGAGCCGCGGAGGGAAGGGAGGAAAGGACAGCACGCCACAGGGCTTGCTCGGCGGGACGGGAAGGAGCCCGGATGCGAACATCGGAGCTGCCCGGCGGATAAACGCCGCCACTCACCCAGCAGCAGCAGCTTGAGCTCACGGCGTGCGTCCTTCTTGTCGCGGCGAAGCTGTCGTTCGATCTCCGCGCTGATGCGCTGCGACTCTTTCTCCTCTGCAGACAGACAGCAGCAGCCGGCCATGGTTTGCCGCTCCGACGGGGCGACAGGAACCCCGCGTTTACCGCCGGGCCGCGCGGATTATCCGCGCCAGGCGCGGGGTTTGGAGAGGAAACAGCTGAACCTACTACGGTTTGAAGTAACAGACCCGGAGCGCCTCCCGGGCTTAACCTTTCTCGAAGGCAGTTCCACCCGAGCGCTCGTGCGGTCCGGGATCTGGCACCCAGCCCCGGGCTCGTGCAGGAGAGAAGAGTGAGCTGGGCTGTGTGAGCCGCGCTGTCTTCAGAAGATGCGCGCCCCCGGGATCTGTAGCTGGGCAGACAGTTAGGCAGCTCAGACGGCGAATCAGAAGTTGGGGCGTCGGTGCTGTTGGGATAGTAGTCTCTCCGGGTCTGGGAGTGTCGCAGGCTAGTAGCAGGCGTGGCGTGGCTTGCAGACAACGGACCAGCTAGCCTCTCTCTGCAAAGTTCCGAAAATCTCTGCAGTTACGGTAGACTCTGGCCGAATAGAAGATTCGACCAGCACTGATGGCTCCAAGTGGTAGGAGGAGGCGGGGCGTATCGAACCTACAGCCCTAGATTCTGCGGGAGTTGCCCCTAGGCCTTCCCCAAGCCTATGGCGCCTGGGGAAAAAGGAGAACGACTAAGAGGCTAGGTAGGGCGCGGAGCAGCCTCACACCTGCCCCTTTGGCGGTGGCGCCCTAGTGCAGGCAGGGCCACTTGCCAAGCTTGCTGTAACCAGCAGGCACTGGCTGCCAGGCCCTTCCCGCGGCCAGATCCGGGTTCCGACAGGTGAGGGAGTTCGCTAACTCCCAGCCTCAGTGCCAGGGTGGAGGCAGAGCATTAGCAGACCTGAGCCAGACTGCAGGCAGGACACACACTGCATACTAGCAGCTAGGCTCTGGCCTCCCCTCCCATCTGAGGCTGAGCCTTGCCCACCAGCCTCTCCACCGCTCACACTTGGGGGTTCCTAGACCGGCTCCCTCCGCTTCCCGGATGCCCCAGCCCAACCTGGACTTGGTGCAAACCCTGGTCCAGCTTGAAGCCTGCTGTCTAGTGCAGACCGGCCGGGTGGCTCTGCTAGGAACTGCAGCCGCCTCTGGGGTCCGGTAAAAGAGCAGTGAGCGGGTTAATGCCTCCCAGCCCTTCCCACCTCTCAGCACCGGATGGGGGGGCTGGGGACTGGAAGGGTGAGGGTGGAAAAAACGTCTAGCTGCTTTGCATTTGGTGATAGAAAAGACTCCTGCTTTGTAGAAAGAGTTGGCACCTTCCGGACACACCTGGCAGTTCCCTGCTCAGCCCTGAGGCCACACTGCCGCCTTAGGACAACTCCTGGAACACCGCCAGTAAAATCTGAACGCACCCTCGACAACTCAAAAGGAAAGACACAAAACAAATTACCCTCACTGGTTTTGTTTGTGCAGATTTTAAGGTATAAATCGAGAGCAAAAGAAGGGATCCTGCAGACCACAGCAAAGAATCTTCTTTTCCTTCTATTCAAGTCTGCATAGGATGTGTGCACACTTATGGAATCCAACACTAACGTTTCCTCTGTAAAGAGCAATTGAATCAGGAGTGGGGCACCGCGGTCATTATATAAGAACTTGGCAGCTAATACTATCTGGCTGCAAAGTCTTGTTTACTTTACAGTTTAAGAAGTGCAGGTTAATCAGGCTTTAAAATACTCTAGTATTTCAGTTTCCTTCCAGGCATAGATTGACAGCAACAGTGACCTCTGCAGGAGCACTTCTGGATTTTTCCTGCGCTGTCACCTATTTTTCCTTTGGCTCCTATACACTGTTTTACACCACCAAGAACGACATCGCTTGACTCCTCAAACTAAAGTCTCGATCACAATTTTTAGTCCTTCATAGATGCTGAGTCCAGAGCAAATCTGAATCCCGAGTTAACTGGAATAACTGACAGAGTCAGTCTCAAGTTACTAGCCTTCAAAACCAGATCATGGCAGACTGTCCCTAGTGAACTTGGAGGAACCTACCAAAAGTCTCAGTATTCCCACCTACTTTGATCAAACCTGTAATCTCCCCACAGGATGTGACACCAGAGCCCCAAAGTTTTGTAGGCAAAGGTTTTTTTTTTAATCTTCAGATAACAACAAAAATTCAATGATGAAAATGTCAACAACAGGGAATAGGCCAAATTAACCATGTCTTGTCCATATAGGGCGAGATTACGTAGCCATTAAGGTAATCTATGAGGAACATTATGTCACAATGAATAGCAAACACCCTGTGATGTTTTGGTGAATGACAGACTGCAAGTGTCATGATGGTCCCACCATCTCCCTCAGGGCTGCGGATGTAGCTCAGCGGTAATGCACTTGCCTCCTTTGCATTTAACATCCAGCAATGAAAAAAAAATGATAGTATAACTGTCCTAGTTCGTATAAGAACACTCCACAGTATCCTTGCATCAATGAAGCTGATTAGTCACATATCCCTTAGACTGTATTCCTATCATTCATGCAATACTACATAAGAATCTGGGGGAAACCCTCAAAATACATTCAGAAGAAAAGACGAGGCACACGCGCATAAGCAGTAAAATATAAATGGTATGGTGAGAATATACACCTGCATTTTTAAGAGCCTAAAGTACGTATAGCAGAAAGGTTAGTTGCTCCGACTCAAAGCCAGCTGGCTGATTATCTAACACAAGTATCTCTAATTATCTGATAGTTACCTGTGGCCCTTCTCATCATATTTAGATCGTACTTTCCTTAACTGTAAACACAGCAATGAACTACAATTCATTCAAAGGACTCACCCAACTCTAACATTCAATTGTTTCTTTGGTGATTTTCACACTTAGAAAAACACATTAATGGACTGGAGAGGTGGCTCAGCAGTTAAGAGTATTGACTGCTCTTCTAGACGACCCTGGTTCGAGTCCCAGCACCCACGTGGTGGCTTAAAACCATCTGTAGCTCCAGATCCAGGGAATCCAGCACCCTCTTCTTGCTTCTGCATGTGCTACACAGATGTGGTACACAGACATATATGGAGGCAAAACATTCATACACATAAAAGGAAAAACTAATTTAAAAAGATGGTAAACTAAATGCAAACTTGTTATTGGGCATCATAAGTTCCCAAGAACTGTACAACAGGGTAACACGAGACAGTTAATTTCCCATTGCTGTATTTGTCTCTCTTTTCCTCATTACCTGTAAGATCTAGGGCATAAAATAATGATATTTGACGCACCGTTCCAGGGAAGGCTAGCTCTGAAGAAAGGGCTCACTAACGGAGAATACTTTTCCTAGTCATTTCCAATCTGCTATAGTTCCACAAGAATCCTCATGGACTCCAGTTGGGCTGCTTTTGCCTGCCAAGTGCTGGGATCTTCAGGTGGTGATAACTGCAAGTCTTTGGGATATTCGCTGAGTCCAGGCCAGTCTGATACAGGCACTGAGGATTCCTTCCCGTGACAAGACGTACTGAGCTGTGGTCTACCAAAAAAATTAAGTCAAGCCCCTGCCATCCTGTGTCCCAGGAAAAGCATCACTCTGTGACAGTGTCTCCCTTGTCTGCCATGCTAATGGAATCTCAGACAAATGTACTGTTGTCATCTATGGGCCTTGGTGCACCTTGTCTCCTTTTCCAGGAATGCCATCTCTTACCTCAGACAAAGTTAGGTCACTTATTTTCCAAGCACATCCCTTCTGAGAAGCCATTTCCACTCCGCCATTAGAACCAAGGCCTACAGCTGCCCATGTTCATCCCATCCTACCCTAGCACACCTATCTCCACTAATTCCTGTTACTCACAGGTAGTTTTTCTTGTTTAACCTTCTAGTCTTAGACTAGCAAATCTTAGTTTACTGCATAAAACTGAAGCCAAGAAAAAAATACCATCTAAGAAGAGAGAAAAGAGGGCTCTCGTGGTAGAAGATGATGATGACATGAAGATGGAGAAGGTCAGCCAGAAACGAGCACTCGATTTAGGAAGAGCCGGAATGTGTTTGCTGACCACTCTTCAGTTTCACCCTTAAGAGAGAATGACTGCCCTGATTCTTACGCAGAGCTGCAAGGGAAGGGACGTCAGAGGACTGGAAAGATGCTCTTCTCTTTGAATGTGTATGACTTTAGGATTGAAGAAGTCCTATATGATCTGGGTGTACTGTGTCTAGGGATATGCCGGGAGCACTCCGTTACTGTGACACAGAGACTACACACTCGTGTTCACCGCTGCACCAGTCACAGTAGCCAGGTCTCGGAATCCAGACAGTGGCACAGAAATAGCACATTTGCTCTTATTTGTGAGTCCTAGAACTTGCCGTGAATACCTAAATACAGAGACAGAGAGACAGAGAGGAGGGTGGAATGAGAGGAAGGAGGGAGAAGAGAGGATTGGAACAGAGGGACAGAACATGAGAGAGGTGCGTGTGGACACACACCATGATGCATTTGAAACACAACATCATGTATGACGGATGTATGTTAACAAATATGTTTTGAATTAAAGAAAAAAGAGAATTTAGAAGAAAGAGCATAAGAAAGCAGCCCAGTAGAAGTGTGCAGACCTAATGGTGTTCGGCACTTTTCAAGCTGGGAATGGCCATTATCTCTTTAAAGGAAAAAAGAGTTAAAGAGTAAGCAGACAGTAGTGAAGCACCTGCCAATGCCACCCTGCCCTGGCACCCCAGAAGAGTGGACCTGTGTGTGACTACCATAGAGGTGGCTTGAGTGTGTGTATGTGTGAGCAGTAGCCCCTAAGCAGTCAATGTCAATGGGGCTTGCTCATCCACAACCCACATGGCTGAGAATAACTCCTAATTTCCCAATCCATTTGTCTGGGTCTGATGTGTTTCCAGTTTTTCATTCAGTTTTCTAGTCCATTGTGTTCTCCAAAGTGGCTTGAGTCTCCCCCTTCCTCTGTGGCCCACTGTATGATCAGCTGCAGACCAGCAGATGAAAACAGATGGGGTTTTGTTGGCCTTGTGGATGAGGAAATAATAACACATTGCTACACACAGCATCTATTTTTCTGTGGCAATCAGCATGTCAACGTATTGCTCCAAAATACCCTCTGTTGGAAGCCTGTTTATTAAATAACTTTCACTGGGATAGCTAAAACAATGGACACGAAAATCTGTCATCCAACACATATGTGAGTAGACAGGCATGGCTAGCATTTAGTTTTTTAATCTGAATTTTGATGAGTTGGGGATCTTAGGAACATAAGAATTAGAAATCTTTAAGAAGACAATCCGGAGATTTTTTTTTTGCTTATGTTCTTTTTAACTTTGCTTAAGTTTCACACTCATTACCACTCTTCTCCTGAGGGAGCAAACATTGACAACCTAGTATATTTGTGCCCTTCTCTGTACTTTTGTGCCCTTAAAGTCATAGACAAAGCATAAATATGAGCATGCACAGAGGAACATTGTCACCATTAATGGCGATACATTGTCTCTTTTCTTCCTCCTCATTCAGGAAAACCTTGTTTGTAACTCCATAGTATTCCATGCTGTGAAGATAGTGTTCACCGTTCAACCTGCCCTCCTTAAACATCTTTACTTTTGTTCAGTTTTGGCCAATAAACAATCTGTAATCATATCTTTATATAGGGATCTTCACACACTACTGTTTTTATAGGTTAAATTCCCAGAAAAACATTGCTATGTTATATATATAAATATATATGTATGTATATGTGTGTTTGTATTTTATAAGTGTATAACTATATGTAACTATATATACATGTGTGTATATATGTATAGACATGCATTTTTATTTTAATAGATGTGGCCAGATTCCTTCCAAAAAAACTTTAATATTCTCATCTGTTGGCAATAATATCAGCTCCCACCTCTGACTTCTCTGCAGCAATAAGTACTGTTACTCATTAACTTTTGGCAGCTGGAAGGGAATAAAGTGATATTAAAGAGCTGCTTCCTTTGCTGCCTGTGCTTGCTGGTGCCTTACCTGCCTCCTTGTGACTTGCCCATTCATTTTTAAAAATTGGGTCATTTGTCTTCTCCTTGACAACATGCAAACTCTTCAATAATGCATGTTGGTTCTTTGTCACCTGAGTGACAAATATGGCAAATATGGTATTTTCC